GCATGAACTCAGTCACCTGGACTTTCAGCATAGTCTGCTCGGAGATCCATCCAGTCAATGCTAATACCCTGCAAACGCACTTCCCTGACACGAAAACCATCTTCGCAACGCCCCAACTAGTCAATATCCTCACCATTTTTCTCTTTTCCGCACCCGACATTAATGCCAAAAATAAGCCTAATGTCAACCAATGTGCATTCCCTGCCCTCATATCTGTCCATGTCAGACACCCAGTATTCTCCAGATTCCGTGTGCCTATCTCCATGCGTTCGCGAACTGAGCGGTCAGCCTTGTACACCCTCTCCTTTCCGCAGAACCCTAACGAAAACGATGAAGGCATTACGCTCAGAACACTCGATGTACCGGTCAGTCTGTCATCTTATTTTCATTTAACATTAGCTGAATCACACTCCTGAGCTGGATAAAATCATTTCTCTGTGGCCGAAGTCAGACAACGAAAGTTGGCTCGATAATCTCAAGGCTTAAACCAGTAAGTAGTTGTGTGCTCCAGGGAAGTGTATTAGGCCCACTCTTATTCATAATATATATATACAGTATCTGTGTTAGCTTTAGTGTAGGTAAACCAATACTATATGCAGATGACTTAAAAGTGACCTATAAATGCAGGAACACAGATCTTGGAACAACAGTAAACGCCATACAGCAAGAATTGGGAAAAATGGATAGATGGTGTGACACCTGGCAACTCCAATTTAATGTCGAAAAATGTGGCTGGCTCTGCATAGGTTGCAACAATTTGGAACTTGACCTGACAAAGTTAGGTCACAACTTGTAACTTAAGTTATAACTTATTTGATTGAATGTAGACATTACAAACTTCTCGCATAGTTTTTAGAATTTTTCAATTTTTATGTCATACAACAGTGTTCCATGTAAAGTTGCACTTGTCAGATATGATCACGCCTGTCTAAATGGTATGTCAATCATGTAAATGCCTAATTTATGCGAATAAAATATTATTATTATCTCAAGGAGTTTTTCTACACTTAGACACCAGGTGTTTAATTACCTGCCTCTGGAGACCCCTGCGATACTAAGAAGGATGGAAGACGCCAGCTAAATAGGCAGTTAGTTTTACCAAACCCTGAAGAATGTTTTGTCGTCCACACAAAAATAAACAATTGATACATATAATTACAGTGTCAAGGTGTGTTCGTCGGTAATGTCCTCAAAAATTCGCACTTGCAAAGACATTTGTAATCTTGTATTCCATTCAGCTGATTTTGCTTACGTCATCTTTTGTGTCCATTTACTTTTTTCTTGGTTATTTTTGAAGCATGCTCTTAAAGAGACTTGACTATGTGATATAAAAGAGAGAATTAGACTCCTACTTGCCGGAGTTTGGCCTGATTATGGGAAAGACTGACTCACTCAACCGTCCAGTGTTAATTCTAAACTTCTGCAGCGTCTTTTCACTCGGTTCAGTATCAGTTTATTCATGAATAAGTGAATTTTGAATTATTAAACTAAACCCTAACAAAGTGTGACTGTGTACAACGAATTTTCAAAAAGAAGTAAAGGCCATTCATTTTTGTTTGTACTAGAAGAAGATACTCAGGTATATTATTATATTTGCCGGTTATCTTGAAGGAAAGGGTATTTCTCCATGAATCGGGTGAACTTATGTACTTTATAGTGTTTAGGCCGCCAGTTATTCATTTTCCAACCTCTCTAGATATTTTTCACACGTTAAGGGGCCAGCATATTCCCCTCGTCTGCCAGTCTTATTAGTTTATGCGTCAGAATCGACTGCTGTTTTTGGAAGCTTTTCCAGCACTACGTATGCCCCTTGGGACAACTGAAAGTCATTTTGACCTCCCCTTAATGCATCATCGAGTATCTACTGGTAAGTCCTTTCTTTTCCGGAAGTCTATAATAATGATAATAATTTATATTTTCATATAAACATCAATTTACATGAAAATGCATGCCATTTTTACAGGCACGATCAAGTATGATATAATGTCAATTAGTGGATCGTCTACAAGTTAATGTTTGAACAGCTAAATATTTGATATATATATAAATACACTCATTGTCTGATCCATGTCGTATCATTATTGAATTGTACAGTAGTCCTCCAGGTTGCGCAGGAAGATCGACTTCGTCTCGTTTTAAACCCGTAGTTGTAGGCATACGATAGCCAACCAATATTGAGGTAAGTACAACGCTTACTGAGGCCTGTTCTGTCTGAGTCATTAACAGTGAAAACCAGTGGAAGCTGTCATATAAAATCGAGGTCAGGCGTCAGTATTTTGTTCCCATACGTCGCTATCTGGTTTCTGTTGAAGGCCTGTAGCGTAACGAGAGACCTCTGTCATCCCGCTTTGGCCTTTGCTTTTGGTATGATACCGAGTGCAGCTTCTACATCAACTAAGGAGTTTCCGCTAGAGTTTTTAGTCCTGACCTAGAATAGATAACAGTCCATGCACACCTCAGTAATCGCTACCTGAGAAGAGGTTATCCGTTGTGATGCTGTTTATGGGGTAATTTGGGCCAGGCGCAAATTGGTGTGAATTTTGTTGACTGGGAGCCAAAACTTCGGTGATGCCAGCGGAGTTGGCCTGTCGATCCAGTAGATCTGGTTCTACTCTATGAGCGGAAACCTGCTCTATTGGGTGGCCTACCTCATCTACCCTGCGTTAGTTGTATTTACGGTAGTTGTTCCGTTAGTGACCTAACGTTGGACACTAGACCTGAGATCTTTGGGTCTTCGCTCGCACTCGAATGGTTCACCTGCCTTTTAGTAAGTCGTCTCCTCCCCAACATCCGATCAGAGATGGGTCCTAACTGTTCAGGAATTTAAACGTCTAGTACTTGTTCCACATACTCCGGGAGGGCTTGCACCCAACCTTGCTTTAGCGCGGCCCTTCCAGCCTTGCTGCTCTCTAAAAGCCGCCGCAGGTTGCGCGAGAACCGTTATGGGGATTCACCTCCCATTTTTTCCCCTGAAGCAACCTTTGTTTGCGTTGATTTCCAGACAAGGAAAGGCATTTTATCCCCTCGTACTTAAGCACTGCGTATGACTGCTCGTAAGAGGGGTAAAGTATAGAGTCTCACACCTCCTTGACAACCTCATAAGGTAACTAAGAAGATACATTCCTATACCTGGTGGTTTTGGATTAAATTCTACACCGGTTGGGTAAACCACAGTTCCAGATCATGTAGATAAAACTGAGGTTATCAAACCCTGGTAGGATTCACCTACACAGAATTAGGGTTTTTAAAGTCAGTTTTCATGTTTGGTGAGTGAGACATAATCAAGGAAGGTAAATTTTGAACCAAATCATACTTATCAGCGAGGGCAGTATTCGAAAAATAACCAAAACAAAACATATATCACAGTAGTTAAATATGACTAACGGAGCGAGCTCATCAATTTAGAAAACCACTTTTCAACTAAAATAATTACTCGAATTACTGACCGACAGCTGGTAATACCTTAAGGGACTAGTAGCATTTATAAACCTTTCATCTTCAAAAACACGTCAGTGGGCAAGTGGGGCGGGGAAACTTAATCAAACCCACAGAAGAACATTCGCCAGTCAATAGACAAAAGAAGTCTTACTCATCATACGGAGGATATGGTTCCTAGTTGGCTACTCCTTCTATTCTTGTTAATTCCACAAATACTACATCTGAATAGTCATAGCATGCCATGTTGTAAAGGTCCTACATTGGCACTTCCATAATACTTTGATTATTAGATGTATCACAAAGTGAAGCAGTGTTATTTATTGGATGACGTTTCAAACAGAATGCATTGTTCATAATCAGATCAGTTATAATCACACGACTTCGAAACTTGAGTTTCATAGTTTTCTTTGTTCTCTCCTATTTGTTGTAGAGGTAGCAGAAGTTTCCAGATATCTGGGAGAGGTGTTGAAGCATTCCTATGACATGTATTTGCAGTTGACTCGATAAACAAAGCTTCCGTTATCAATCTTCGCCTCCACCCTGTTATATTAGACTTTAAAACTGTCATTTTATCCATTCTATTGTATGGTTGTTTGCAATTGCGTGTAGTGCCATGGTTGAACCAGGAATGATTAAACACCTGTCCACCGGAACATCTGGAAAATTCTACTACCTCAACGGCAAATAGGAGAGAACAAAGAAAAATATAATACTCAAGTTTCGAGGTCGTGTGATTATAACTGAAGTGATTATGAATGATAGTTTGTTCGAAACGTCATCCATTAATTAATACTGGTATATCTAATAGACAAACTAATATGGAGTTACTTACTACCACAGTGCCTAAGTTTAACACCTTTACATTGACAATGCTAATAGGCTTATAGTCTGAAGAGTTATGTCCAAGAATCGCCATGTAGATGAAGGTTACTAGGGCGTATTTCCAATCGCGGGGCAGCAGGTCATGTAGGAAAAATAGACTGTACAAAAATATTTCCTTAGGTTGTGACACCACATTTCCAGCTGGATTCCCTACAGATTTCATCCGTCATTGTACAGCTTTATTCGCTCTGAAGTTCCAAGAGTGAAAAACACGTTCCAGCACTTCATCTTATAACTGTGTAGTCCACGAGTACTCCTGGTCTGCTCATGGGAAATAGTTTACAGCCCTTTGAGGTGAACCATATGATGAAGGATTGGTACTACGCTGGTGTAAAGTTGCTTGAATTGGCCCCACTCAGCTTCCTTGTGAGATTCCGAATTCATATACCAATCCTGGGATTGAGCCGTGGAATTGTTGGCAGTAATATTGGCTTTCCACATGTCAACCCGAGTTCCAGGACACCGCTGTGAAGTTAAGCATGGGCACGGCGTGAACACTAGGACTCACATATTAACCATGGGAGAAAATTAGGTCAAAGGGTGAGGGATGCAGTGAGTTGTACATCTACAACTATATAACCTATATTCATGCTATTCCGATTGCTCCATTATCTAATTTTCAATTTATATAAAGATTATGATAATTCTAATGTAAAAGTTTTTTGCAGCTTATTGTTTAAGTTCTCCCAGTGACGACGCGGGACAACAGTTTCAGTTTTCCTTGTCCAGTTGTCATGTCCTCTTTCGGTGCGGCCAAGGTGGCTCTAGCGCGCCTGACAAGATTAAATACATGCGTAAGTCTATCCGGATAATAAACTAATATTTGTATCCGTATTCTGCTGTCATCTAAGTACGAAAATCACCAACTCCAAACATAATAGGAAGATTTGTGAGGCGAAGTAAATGTGTTAAGCAGTGAGGTTCTTCATTTAGTATAGTAATTCTACCCTTATGTATTTCATCCATGCTTTCTAAGATGCACTGATCTTTACTTGATACCTTTACATTGGCTATACAGCCGTGACAGATAGTTGTTAACTGCCACAATGGGAGTTACTACTGTGTAGTAGTTCTTGGATTGACTGCTTTAGTAAGAAATGTTTGGTGCGGCCAGACAAACTATGAGTAAGACTAGATACAGGTAGATCATGGTCCACCATGGGCGGTTGAGTGGTTGTTGATACCAGTTCTGGTTGCTATTCGCTTAGAACATAGGTTTCTGAAGCACCTTGTGCATACATTCCCAGTCACTGCATGTGATGGTGGCCGTGTCACTGTCTTTATAAAATGAGATAATTGAAAGAAGTGAATAGTAGGTAGAAGGTGACTGAAAAGTCTACACTTTCAGATTGGTCAACACGCACACGCTACTGACACGTCCTGTCATCCTTCAAACCACTATTTTGTTGTTGACCACTTTCGTCTTAAGTGCGTCACCTTGATTGCTAACCGAGGTCACGGTACTTTAGAATTGTTTCAAGTTGATAAAATTCAACGCAATATGACTCACTGCATGTATTAGTCCTGATATTCACTGTTTTGTTTGATGGCAAGTAATGTGACAATTGAGCTCTCTTGTTTCATCCCGTGATGTGATTCGTACGATTGCAGTCTCTATCGGCTCCTCGATATGATTATTGGCTAATTAATCCTAGGACGGATTGTCCTATTCATACTTCTCGTTTTACACTACCTGTTAATCTCACTTTCATTTCGTGGTGCGATTGTATGCCAAACAAAAGTTTAAAAAATAGTCGGAATTTCGGTATTTAGCTTGTGGGCCTTCGTCGTACAATCTTACCAACGTAAACTAGACTAAACCTTTGTGGTTTGTATTGTAAGTTCCTTAAACGTGGTGGTCCGATTTGTGTATCGCGATGAACTAACGACCTTTGCAGCGCATTTTCTTGCAGGTCCTGCCTTGTCAGAAATGTCTGTTGTACAGCGGATAGACTAAAAGAAACTGCCTACATAGGGCAGGTTGCGTGTTGCATGGTGCACATTAAAGGGATAAGTTACTCCTCTTTTAACATCTGATTGTGAAAGACTACATAAGTACGCACGAAACTAGAGGGAGTAGTTACTTACCCCCCTACCTGCCCAACTTCTCAATGAAAACAGGAAATATGGATCTAGGTAAAAGATAACCACTAATCGTGATTTGATTACAGCACCCTGTAATGGTATGAAGTGTGTTAGAAGCATGCCACCATAAGTTAGCGAATGCTGTTGGATTTCTATTGTGTCACCCCAACTTATTTAAGCTGATGGGATGATGCCAAATCGAAAGCTGATCCACCGCGTTCCTTGACGTGTGATGCTTATTGAAGCAGGACTAAATCAAAGAAGTTGGTCAGGTAAAGTGATACATATTTGCGGTTCTTGGTGTGTCTACGTATGGCATTATAAGCTGTCCTTTGGATCAACGATTGTAGACATTTTGACATGGCTGAAAATTGTTCTTGGTGGTTCATGTGTGTTCATTTAAAAAAATCTAGGTACCCAAAATCCCTTATGATTTTCATCTAATTCTTCCCATGCATCTTGATGCGCAGTAGTCTCATTGTTTCTTTTCTTCATTCATCAGGCTTGTTCATTTCATGCAAACCGTATGCTGGTGTAGGTGTATGTAATGTATCTTTGCACAAAAAATAAAGTCAGCATTTCGAATGTTTTATATAATAGAACGTAGTGACTGAAGACTTAAGTTTATTGAGAAACATCACGACTGCTGCCTCAGCTTTAACATATTCTTCTAGCGAACAAACTAGTGTTCCACATTAGATAAATTTACTTCATATAGCTTGTAGTGTTGCTAACTGGATCACGTTCAAGCACATGTCGCGCTCGTGAATCATGTCCCCTGTGCCTTTCTTAATTTGAAAGTTAAACGAAGTCTTGTTTGCGCCAAAGGAAATCATATTTTTAAAATATTGTAAGGATTAAATAAGTAGTCTCAGTTTATGGATATTTTCGTAACGCCCGTCAAGTAAAGGTGCATGTAGGGGAATTATCCATCCTGTTAAAATTTTTAGCTAACTTAGGGAGTCAGCAAGAAGTATTGATTTTGGGTTTTATTTATCACCTGCATTACTTTCTTCATGCATTCTTATCATGTCAGTGTTAACTAGTGTTACGCCTTATTTTTTCAGGTGCTTAAACAAATTGGATGCAGACTTCTATCGACGTCCCACGTCCAAAAGGCTGGATCCCCTGAATTCTCCAGTATTTTGGAGGAACGAATTTTAGGGCAAACTCTGCAAACAAACTTAGAGGAAACTGGGCGCGTTTTAAGTATTGGTGATGGTATTGCTCGCGTCTATGGCCTGAAAAACATACAAGCGGAAGAGATGGTGGAGTTCTCGTCCGGTCTCAAGGTTTGTTTACTTTCCTCTTTTTACATGCTGTTCAGGGTATGGCTCTTAATTTAGAACCCGACAACGTCGGTGTGGTCGTCTTTGGTAATGATAAACTTATTCGTGAAGGCGATATCGTCAAAAGGGCAGGAGCGATTGTTGACGTACCTGTTGGTGAAGAATTACTTGGTCGGGTAGTTGATGCTCTAGGTACACCAATTGATGGGGCCGGCGCAATCAACACTAAGACAAGACAGCGTGTTGGGGTTAAAGCCCCTGGTATCATACCCCGCATTTCTGTCCGCGAGCCAATGCAAACAGGAATTAAAGCTGTCGACAGCCTTGTTCCCATTGGTCGAGGTCAACGTGAACTTATCATCGGAGATCGTCAGGTAATTTTGCACTATCTGGTAATCATTAAATTTTCCAGACGGGTAAAACAGCTATTGCTGTAGACACCATTATTAATCAAAAGCGTTTCAACGAAGCAGCGGATGAAAAGAAAAAACTATATTGTATTTACGTTGCCATCGGACAAAAACGTTCAACAGTTGCACAGTTGGTCAAACGACTTACTGACTCAGATGCCATGAAGTATACAATTATTGTATCCGCAACAGCTTCTGATGCAGCTCCTCTTCAGTATCTAGCTCCGTATGCGGGATGTGCAATGGGTGAGTATTTCCGTGATAATGGGAAACATGCATTGATCATATATGATGATCTGTCAAAGCAAGCAGTTGCTTATCGACAAATGTCATTGTTATTACGAAGACCTCCAGGAAGAGAAGCCTATCCTGGTGATGTGTTCTACTTGCATTCACGATTGCTTGAAAGAGCTGCTAAAATGAATGATTCATATGGAGGAGGTTCACTAACAGCTCTTCCTGTCATTGAAACTCAGGCTGGTGATGTATCTGCATATATTCCAACCAATGTCATATCTATTACCGATGGACAAATATTTTTGGAAACTGAATTATTCCACAAAAGTATTCGACCCGCTATAAATGTTGGTCTTTCTGTCAGCCGCGTTGGTTCTGCAGCTCAAACTAAGGCAATGAAGCAAGTTGCTGGTCGCATGAAATTAGAACTTGCTCAGTATCGAGAAGTAGCCGCTTTCGCTCAGTTCGGTTCTGATTTAGATGCATCAACTCAATCCTTGTTAAATCGAGGTGTACGATTGACGGAACTCTTGAAACAAAATCAGTATGGTATGATGACTTTTAATTAATCACTTACTTGTTTTAGCTCCAATGGCAATTGAACAACAAGTAGTCGTAATATATGCTGGTGTTCGAGGACATTTAGACAAACTGGATCCATCTAAAATCGTTCTTTTCGAACAAGACTTCCTCAAATATGTATTGGCAAACCATCAGGATCTGTTGAAAACTATTCGTGAAGATGGAGAACTCAAGCCACAAACTGATGAAAAATTAAAGAAGATTGTTGTCGATTTCATAGCTGGATATCAAGTGTCTGCATAGGCAATCAGATAGTAGTACTTTTTCATCATATTACTTACACTTCCGTCAGCAGTTTTATGTACTTAGTATTATGAACAATAAAAATCTTTCAAAACCAATGTTTCGTGTAATTAGATTAGTTTCCTTACTTACAAAGAAAACATTGAGTCAGACAAATCAGGTTCTCCGGGAAATTTATTTCTATCTGGGGTTCTCATTTCCAAACAATGGGAACTACCAGATACTAAGAAAATCCACAAAACTGGAAATGTTCCTTGTTCTTATTAGAGATTAGGATTTGAATATGTTATGGGAGTCATTATTCACCGATTTAATACTTCGTAAACAACAGTCATCGGGTCCATACTTGTACAACCGATCTGTGAGTTGGTGGATTCAATAATAAACTGTTTGGTCTCAAACAGTGGGGTTACTTTGGATTGATAGTTGAGTCTGAATCTCACTATTGTGTGTGCTGCATCGTTTGGTATAGTTCTTTCCTCAATTTCTATTACAGGTAACTACCTGCTTACTATTAATGGTGTGCATTATGTATCTGTAGGCTGGGTGTGTATATGACAGTAGACTATTTTCCATTTATGATGCATGCTCACTTTGAAGTGAAAGAGTTAAAAATGCAAGCCTCAAAAACTGCACTCCGTTTCGCTCGTCAACTCTCTTCTTCCAGTGGTAACGTTTTGTAAGTTTCGATCCAACCTTACCTATCAAACGTAAGTGCTTCAATCGGTCTCAAATATAGACTTGCATAAGATGCGTAGCTGGTATCATCGTGCTGTTTAGATCCAGCAGTCGATTCATTCCGCTCATCAGGTTTCTGAGCATACTAACTCTGCACGACCATACTATTTTTTAAATTTTTTGTGTGCACTTCTGAGTAAGGTTACAAAAATTCCTTGGAATAAAATTTCGTTTGATGTAAGTGTAGGGTGATATGCTACATAGTCAGTGAACTTCCTCAAATATTATTTCACATCAAACAGACACGTCGAGAACTTCTGATCTGTTCGATGTTTTGAGTGCCGACTCGTGAATCTGGTCGGATTTTAACATCACTATTCAAAGTAAAGCTGGATTTAATTCCAGGCACTTATTTTCAGTTATGTAGACTTTCATTATACAGATGAACTGCCCATTCCATTTTATCAAGTGCCTGATGGTTCCAATAATAATCATTTGTTCGAACTACTGTAGGTGAGACGGAAATATCTGTTTTGGATGTATGAATTGTTCTGTTCAATTTCGAGTAGAATAGCGGGTCTCGAAATTAGTCTTGGTTCACACTCGAATGTGATTATTGCTGAAGTTTCTCTAAGATGTACCAAAGCAAAAAGTTGCATCTGAAATAGAAGTTGCCGAAAGATCAGTGTCTAAAAGCTTTTAAATCGAATTAGTAACTGTGAATAGGTCATTTCTCTCCCACCAAATGTAAGATCATGTTACAGTACTGGACTACACTGACTCGTAGCTTAGAAATAGGGAGTGAAGTAGTGGAGCACGTTGACCGCTTCACTTATTTGGGAAGTTGCATCAGCCAACGGGTTGATCGCTGACGAAATCTCAGCACGGATACAGAGGGCTAGTTTCGCATATGCCAGTTTACGCCGTCTCTGGCGCAAACGTGATATCCGGCTATCGACCAAAGGACGTGTGTGCAGCTCAGCAGTCCGTTCTGTCCTCCTTTATGGCTGTGAGACGTGGCCATGGAGAGTGGAAAACATGAAAAGACTAGCTGTCTTTGATCATAGGTGCCTGCGTTCTATCTCCCGTGTGAAGTGGTTTAGTAGGGTGAGCAATATTGAGGTTGGACGTCGAGGGTTAAGACATGTGTTACGTATGTCTAGTCATCGCCTTCCTCGACGGGAAATGTTAGCTGACATAGGGTCAGGCTAGAAAAGAGCTAGTGGCGGTCAAACAAAAACATTGCTTCATCGGTCAATCAAATCAACAACAGTTAGTTTAAGTAAGGTAGGGAGGTGTAGGTTGCCTGACTGGTTGAAGTCCTCGGTACGGTAAAAACCAGTGGCTGGAGACAATTGGTGATATGGCTCCAAATCGTTCTCAATGGTGCAGATGCATCCACTCCTTGTGACTTATAATTTCCGAGGGAACTATATTGTTCTTCGTGTACTGCTGCACATCGGTGCAAAGCTCTATGTTGAAAACAGACAGACTGGTTATTTGTCAGTCATCACTTATATATATATATATATATATATATATAGAGAGAGAGAGAGAGAGAGGGTATTAGACAATTGATATGATTATGAGCAATAAGTTTTGTTGGAAACGTTATCTAGTTATATATACTGTGATATATCAAATAAACTTATCTAATATATAATTATATTCCATCACAGTACTCGGATTCTACTCTTACGTAAATGATTATACTAAAAGTCTACCGGAGATCAACTAAATTCCATGCCTACTCATGAGCTTCCGGTGACTTCTCGTCACCACTTACGCAATGGGAACACTGAGCAAAGTAGTCTGATATCGTGTATTATAGTGACAGTTATTTAAGGTAATCCATTGGAGGTCTGTATTCGGGTTTAATCCTTGATGGTGTGTTCACGTTTGGCGAAAAAACCCAGATTGTTACACATTTCCCTCACTCTCTTGCAACGGCTTTTGTGTCTTGTATGATTAAATGGGTATACACCACTCTTTGGCGTGTCGCTAAATGACAATGTCCCGAAATACGTCACTTTTTTTGCACAGGAGTATATCTTCTATTTTGGAACAGTTTTACATTGGTACATTCGAATACAATTATGTCACTATGTAGTGGGTGCTACTGAGATTTTGTACATAGTGTGTTGCATGTGATATCTACAAGAATACTGAGGAGAAATGAGAGATCAATGTGGAACAATATAGGATGCGTGTAAAGGAAGATGAAGAAGCACAAAATGAAGAGTGTGCAAGTAGAGATTTAAATGCAGGGATCCTGCAATTTGACGAATAAATAATCCTGCTATCAAATGCAGCCGTGCTAGACTCTTACAAGTCAAGCTTATAGTTATTATCATGAAAACTTAAGTTAGAATTCTGGTAACGACAGCATTATCAGACTCATTGCGTAATCGTATATGATGCATTGGAAGTTTCACTAGTGGTACAACAGAAATTTTCCAGATATCCAGGAGAGGTGTTTGATTATTTGCACGATTTTTCGATTGATTTATTAATATGTCTGTCAATGCGTCCTCTCAACATGCTGACTTGGGTTCTGGCACCGTCGATTTTTTTTGATCATGCCGTATGATTGTATGGATTCATGTAATACTATAGATGAGCTTTTTTCTAACTTCTCTATATCGGTAAAGTCAAACAGTTCAGGTTTTCTAAAGTTTTTTTTTCATACCGGCTTAGTTGATCCGGTTCGTAAACTTGATCACCGACTCATAACTATACAACCTATTGGTGGGATTGTGACTAGCAGTGGAATTCAGCATGCAGATTTCGTCTTATTTGGCACCTGTCACCTGGCTGTACCTGCATTCCGCACTGAAGCTCGAACCCAGTGCCTAAAGTTTCAGATTCAATAGAGAACGAAATGCGCATCCTGGATTCCACTACTAGTCACCATCCACGAATTAATTTCTGGTTATATGCCCAGATATCGTCGAAGCATCTGCACAAGGAGCCGACATGTCAACTTGATACCGAGCACTTTGGTCCAATCAATCGACGGGAAAATCTAAAATTGAATTCAACAATATATTACTGAATTTAGGGTATCCACCAATAAAGGTTCACATAAAAGTGATAACTTACCTTACTGGACAGATAAGATTACATTCAAGAGATGTTTGAAATTCTCAACGATGACAGAAAATTCTCAAACCAGAGAGTGTAAAAGACAGCACTCCCCAAAGCGAAAATCAGTTGACTAAAGTTATTTTAAAAATGAAATAATAATAATAATTTTTGCTTTACTCCAAAACAGTATTAATGATACAGCAGATTTCAGTAATTAGTCCATGGACGTATGAAATGATTCAACCGTCTAGTTCAACATTTTCATGATTTATGTCGCTTGCCTAAAATCTACAAAGAGGAGTTACCCCTGCTTACAATCTTAGACATCCAGATCCCCCCCAAATCATACGTAGCAGAATGGTAGGCAGAAACTTTAGAACTTACGAGAAAGCCAATAGTGAAGCATTCCTTGAGAGATGCATTTGAATTCGTCGGTTTCTACTAAATCTTCATACATCCGAAGCTTTAACAATCCATAAGGAAAAAGCTAAACGTTTTATCCAGAAACGTTTTATTCAGCATCTTTTATTTTGATGGACTTTGTCGATTTTTGTTTTGCTAAATGGGTTATGTAATAAATTCAAAATAGTCCTTCTTATTTTTTAAGTTTATTTCTGTGACAGATTTTCTATCCTTTGTTCTATTGTTTCCAATCACTTATTTCCAAATGATTATTCAACACTTAACTAATTAATTGTCACGCCCTTCCGTTAAGATAAGATTATCCACAAATTTTCAAACATTTATTAAAATTGGATAGTGTTGTTGGAGATTATCTAGAAAATATGGTTGATAAATGTGTAAAATTCAGGCGCTGTGGTAATAAGTAATTCCAATTTAATTTGTTTATTAGAAGTATCACACAGTGAAACAGTATTATTTACTGGATGACGTTTCGAACGAAATGTATTGTTCATAATCATTTCAATTATAATCACACGAATTCGAAACTTGAGTTTTATAGTTTTCTTTATTCTCTCCTATTTGTCGTAGGGGTAGTAGAATTTTCCAGATGTCCGGGTGGACAGGTTACTCTAGATTTCTTATCTTATTCTGGTCAACTAATCTACGTTTTGCTAGGTTTTTATGCTTGGCTAGTTTGACTGCCCTGTTCTACTACTGACCTATGTATTTGACCAGAGACGATGACTTCACGGATGAAACCATTATTTACTAAGCTACGATTTAATCAGAACTTGTCAAGTGAAATTTTGTTCCACTTATTAACCAGTGGTATACCTAGAACGTGCACGCCTCAAAGCTTCAAATCCCTATAAGTATGGTGGAGGTATGTAGATGACACCTTCACTGTAACTAAAACACAGGATATAGATAGATTTTTCGAACACATTAACTCAAAGGTGGAGGCAATTCAATTCACTTATGAATTGGAAAATCAGGAAGGGGAGCTCCCAATGTTAGATTGCAACGTAAAAAGGAAAGAAGATAGGAAGTTAAACACTAGTGTTTACAGGAAACCCACACATTCAAACAGATATTTGGACTTCCGATCATCCCATCCTATGTCAGTGAAAATAGGATTGGTGAAATGTTTAAGTAAGAGAG